TGAGCAGAGTTTAACAAGAATTTTGTTTTTTGTCTTCTCACTTTTTCTCTCCAAAATCCAACCTCTCTTTTTCTCTCTAAAATCCCACCCTTTGTGTGTTGTGAAACAATATATTTGTAGATGGACTTGACTGAGATTTAGGAGGGAAACAGATAACAATTTGAACTCTTTGGGTATGTTGTCTTCATAGCTTTTTGATGCAGCTCTTATGTGCAAATTTGGTGCAAACATGGGAATGAGATCATGTAGGCTTGGACTGGGTTGGTAGTAGCATAGTAGGGCTGTTTTGCAGCAATTTTTTTAGTGTTGTGGCAGCTTGGTGTAGGGTTGTTTCATAGCAGTACAACAGACTGTTTTTGTCATGGTTTTGGGCTGTTATGTGGACAGTACATCAGGCTTGGATTTGGCAGCATATAGAGCTTTATTCAGCAGCAGTTTGGACAACATTGTTTGTAGCATGACACAAGTTTGTTTTGTGGATAACATAGTGGCAAAGTTTGGACATTGAGTCAAAGGGAAAAATTCAAGCAAGACAAAATTTTAGGATTTGTAACTTAACAAATTCTAACTTTAAAAATGCAGTCTTGTAATAACTTGAATTGTTTGTAACATCTTGAATTATAGTGAAGAAAGATGTCACGAGGTAATGAAATTAATCATGTATAGAAAATACTTAGAAAAATTTTCCAAGTCTTGCAAATTTTGATTTTTTGACCTTCTTGATTTTTTTTTATGATCAAATTTCATATTTTGAATGTCTTGATGAAATGAGAGGGAAAATTTTGGGGCACAACAGTTGTCCCTGTTGAATCTTCTTAAATATGAAAAGTTAGATTGGCGGATCCGTCATTCGTGACTTGAAAGTCGAAGATGATTGAACACTGGAGTATCCAGAAATTTGCACTCAATGATGTGTTGGTTGATTGTATCGAGAATAAGCTTAAAGATGTCATTTAGAGAGGTGATGGAGAGTTTGTCGGAGATGGGCTTACAGATGCCATCCGGAGTAACTGTTGGTAGAAATCGAAAGAAGAATCAGAATAAATCTTTGGTCAATTTAATCTGAATGATATGCTGGAACAGACCCGTGTTAAGCCATGTCTGAAAATGTATTAAAAGGAATCTGTGGAAGATTACTTCTTGATGAGCCAATGTGAAGATGGATCTGGAAACATATGAGAAGGAGCTTGTGTAGGGCTTCTTCAGGATGAGTCCATGTGAAACTGCATATGGAAATTATGAGAAATAATTCGCGTAAGATTGCTTCAGGATGAGAAAGAGTCCGTGTAAGATCACTTCCGGATATTATGAGAAGGAACCCGTGTAAGATTGTTTCAGGATGAGCCTGTGCAAAGCTGAGTCTAGAGATATGAGAAGGAACCCATGTAAGATTGCTTCAGGATGAGCCCGTGTAAAGCTACATCTGGAAATTGTGAGAAGGAACCCGTGTAAGATTGCTTCAGGATGAGCCCGTATAAAGCTACATCTGAAAATTGTGAGAAGGAATCTGTGTAAGATTGCTTTAATATGAGCTTGTGTAAAGCTATATCTGGAAATATATGAGAAGGAATCCATGTAAGATTGCTTCAGGATGAGCCAGTGTAAAGCTACATCTAGAAATTATGAGAAGGAATCCATGTAAGATTGCTTCTTGATGAGCTCGTGCGAAGCTGCATCTGAAGGTTAGAAGGAACCCGTGTAAGATTGTTTCTTAATGAGCCCGTGTGAAGCTGCATCTGGAAATTAGAAGGAACCTGTGTAAAATTTCTTTATGATGAGTCCGTGTGAAGCCGCATCTGGTCGCATAGATAGCTATTTTGTCTTCTTTCAGGAACTAATCTTGGACCTCTTGAAAATTGTTGATGATAATTATCAGCCAATTAATCTTTCCTGAAAAGTTAAAGAGTTAGTTGTATGCAATGTCATGATGTATGAAATGTATTGTATAATGATGTTCTCAAAATGAGGTTGTGTTGTATGCATTTGTATGCATATGCTATGAATGTTGTTGAAATGCATCTTTGTCTTAGAAAATAAATCCTTGACAAATGCTGGGGAGCCTTGGGAAATTAAATCCCGGACTGTTGTTGAGGATGAAGAGTATGCACATCTTCAAACCTTGTTTAGAATGTTTCCACTGGGGATTCTTGTTTTGTTGTTTGAGGAGAAATCCGCTGGGGGGGAGTTAATTTTGCTTGAGGGAAAATCTGTAGAGAGTGTTGATTTCTGCTTGAGGGAAACTCTGTGGAGAGTGTTGATTTCTGCTTGAGGAAAAGAGTTCAGGAGTTTTAGATGTTTGTTGCTCTATTGGGAAGTTATCTCTTTATTGGAGAGAAATGAAGTTAGATGTTATCTGGTCGGATCTAGGTTTCACAACAATTTGCTGGAGATAAAGAAGTTAACTGTTATCTGGTCGGATTCCAGAATTTGCAGCAACTCACTGGGGATAGTAGCAAATTCTACCGGGGAAGAGGATTTTAGTGATTTGAAGAAGTTAAACTATTATCTGATCGGGTCCGGGTTTCATAGTAACTCGAATTGTTATCTGGTCGGGTTCAGGTTTCAGCAATTCAATTTTGAGATTAACTAGTATCTGGTCGGGTCCAGGTTTCAGCAACTCGAACTATTATCTGGTCGGATCTAGGTTTCAGCAACTTGATCTTGAGGTTAACTGGTATCTGGTCGGATCCAGGTTTCAGCAACTCGAACTGTTATCTGGTCGGGTCCAGGTTTTAACAATTTGATCTTGAGGTTAACTGATATCTGGTCGGGTCTAGATCTCAGCAACTCAAACTATTATCTGGTGGGATCTAGGTTTCAGCAATTTGATCTTCAGGTTAACTGGTATCTGGTCGGATCCAGGTTTCAGTAACTCGAACTGTTATCTGGTCAGGTCCAGGTTTCAGAAATTTGATCTTGAGGTTAATTGGTATCTGGTCGGGTCCAGGTTTCAGTAACTCAAACTGTTATTTGGTCGGGTCCAAATTCCAGCAATTTGATCTTGAACTTAACTGGTATCTGGTCGGGTCCAGGTTTCAGCAATTCGAACTGTTATCTAGTCGGGTCCAGGTTTCAACAATTTGATCTTGAGGTTAACTTGTATCTGGTCGGGTCCAGGTTTCAGCAACTCGAACTGTTATCTAGTCGGGTCCAGATTTTAGCAATTTGATCTTGAGGTTAATTGGTATCTGGTCGGGTCCAGGTTTCAGCAATTCGAACTGTTATTTGGTCGGGTCCAGATTTCAGCAATTTGATCTTGAGGTTAACTAGTATCTGGTCGGGTCTAGGTTTTAGCAACTCGAACTGTTATCTGGTCGAATCCAAGTTTCAGCAATTTGATCTTGAGGTTAACTGGTATCTGGTCGGGTCCAGGTTTCAGCAACTCGAACTGTTATTTGATCGGATTCAAGTTTCAACAATTGAAGAAGTTAAACTATTATCTGATCGGATACAGGCTTTAGTAACTTAAAATGGAGATTTATTGTTATCTGGTCGGGTCCATGTTTCAGTAACTCAAATTGTTTTCTGGTCGGGTCCAGACCTTGCAGTAACTGAAGAAGTTAAACTATTATTCGGTCGGGTCCAGGCTTTAGTAACTTAAAATTGAGATTTACTGTTATTTGGTCGGGTCCAGGTTTCAGCAACTCAAACTGTTTTATGATTGGGTCCAGGCTTTGCAGTAACTGAAGAAGTTAAACTATTATCCGGTCGGGTCCAGACTTTAGTAACTTAAAATTGAGATTTACTATTATTTGGTCGGGTCCAGGTTTCATCAACTCAAACTGTTTTCTGGTCGGGTCCAGGCTTTACAGCAAATTGAAGTAACTGTTATCTGGTCAATTTTCAGGCTTCGCAGTAATTTACTGAAATTAACTGTTATCTGGTCGGATTCCAGGCTTCACAACAAATTTCTAAGAGAATGAAGTTAAGTGTTATCTGGTCGGATTCTAGACTTCACGGTAACGGATGAAATAGGTGAGGTCAATTGCTATCTGATCGGATTACAGGCTTCAAAACCACTTGTTGAAGTTGACTGTTATCTGATCAGATTCCAGACTTCACAGTAACTTACCGAGAAGGATGAAGTTGAACTGTTATTTGGTCGGGTTCAAGCTTACAATGATTCTGTAGGAGGCTAAGGGGTTTCGTCCATTGATTTTCAATAGTCTAAGAAGCAAACTCAAGCTGGAGAATTTGCAGTTTGTTAGGGAAATAAACCCATTGGAACTCTGACTGGAGATTGTATGAATCCAACTTTGTAGGAATAATTCAGTGGAGATATCCATGAATTTGGCCTTATGGGATTTGGACCCTTATCCGTGAAGATTATTCTGTGAAAATAACCTAACCTTATAGAAGTGGCTCTAGCGACTTCACTAGAGATCACCTTATGAAAGGGACTTTGTGAGGATCTGTCACTATTCATAATAGTGTTGTAGCATTATCAGAAAATATTTACTTGGTCGTGTGTGACCTTTTACGTGAATTCATATTCGATGCCCTAAGTATTAAGAAAAGTATTACATATATCAACCAAGGGATGACAAAAACAAACAAAAGATTTATAGCATTTGAAGGTTTTTCTGGTTAAGTCAATCATTTCCACGACTGACCAAAATTCAGTTATTGTTGAACCTTCAATTTTCTAAGTTAGCTTTGCTTTGTTCAAAAAAATATATTTTAAGTTGCCTAAAACTATCCTAGTATAAATTTGCCTGTGATGATGATAATAATAATAATAAACAAAAGACAACTATATTCTAAATAAAAATGGTATATAACTGACCAATCCCAAAACAATCATGCTAGAAAATTAGATACAGTAAATAAGTAACAAAATTGGAAGAGATCAAGAAAAAAGAGTAGAAACACTTGATTTAACCAAAGAACTCTGACCAAAATGTAAAGACTCTAGTTCAAATGCAAACCAAAATCCCTAGATGCTCTATCTACTAAAAATCCCGCTGCCGCCCGCTCAATTACCAACAAAAAGAATCACTTTATTGAACTTTCACCGGTGCTTGTTGACGAGGGGCTTTACCGCCATTCTGATAACTCCTTGGCACAGCATCTCCATTGATTCTCCCATTATTATTGCCTCCTCGAGGCCGGCCAGAGAAATCACCTCTCTTCTCGAAATCATTCCTTCCATTAAAGCTGCCCCCACCTCCACGGCCACCACCAAAGTTGCCACGGCCCCTGAAGCCGTCATTTCTGTCATTGCGGTATCCACTCCGTCCTGATAAATATCGCACCCTATCATTGTTAGCTGCAACACAATATATAAATAATAGAGTGGCAGTAATACAGTTTTTCATAATGCAATGTTTAAGAGCATCATGAGCATGTAATATCCTCAGAATCATAGGAATCCAAGTACACAATTATATGCTATCTTAGAGCATAAACTAATGAAAGACAGGAGAAGATCAAGAAAATCTGCCAAGAGAAGTACAACACTTGCCTCGCCTTTCTTCAATGGAAAGTCTGCGGTTGTCCAACATAACAGGAGGAGAAGCCTGAAATATTACATACAATTCTTCGGGTGAAACACTTCTCACGTATTAGAAAATAATCAAAATATAGTTAAGATAATGAAAATTTTAATAAATAAATGCAAGGAATGTCCCCTTGATAAATTTCAAAAAAAAAAGTCCCATAAAGATTTATAAAACCCAGATAACATTATAAAATGAACCTTGCTGATAGAAATACTGCATACCTCTAGGGCACTTTGCAATGAAGCAGCAGATTCAAATTCCACAAAACCAAAACAGGATCCCTGTTGCTAAAGAAACAGAAATTGTATCACTAACTGTAGTTAATGTGCATTCAGTAAACCAGGTACTGGAAATGCTTCAAAAGAAACGCACCTTGTTACTTCTAACTTGAATGCCATCGCGTTTAATGGACCCGAATTTCTTGAAAACCCAATCCAATTGCTCTACTGTTGCACTCATAGGCAAATTCGCAACAAATATTGCATGAGCCTTACCTGAGGATAACAAATTACAGAAGTTATGACAAAACATCCCGTTTGATTGAGAATCTTTATACTGAGTTATATAAAATACATAAAGAATTAACCATAATAGTAGAATGGATAAATTCAAATTACCTGAATTCTCATTATTCCTTTCCAGGGGAATGTCAGTGTTAGGGGGGGCTTGTACTTCAGGAGCAGGCACACTGTTGTGTACCCGAGGTGGTTGCACCGCGGATTTTGCAGGGGAAGCCCTCAAATGGAAAGGAGCAGAATTATCTTTCAAGGCATTCACCTGGAACAAATTATTGCAAAAAAGTTTATTGTCGGATACTAATAATAAAGACGCCTGTCAATAAATAAATGAATAAAACTCACAATGGATGCAAAAGACTTTTTAGGAGTATCCTCCTGTGCATTAGAAGCAACTTTCTCAGTGATTGGGGGTAATTCTTGATGGACTGGCTCTTTAACATGATTCACAGGAATCACAGTTTCAACAACTGGTACTTTTCCATTCTCCAGTGGTAGGCTCACTTCTTTGCTGATGATAGTGTCAGTCTCAGCGATAACAGGTTGACTGGGCGGAATGTCCTCAGGAACATGGACAGCCTCTATAGTCAACAATAAAAAGAAAAATTTAAAATCAAAACTTCCAATGGTAAAAAAAATACTATTATAAAAGGAATAAATGACAATAAAATTAAATGGAAGAATATATTTTGCAGTAACTAGCATAAGGAATCAATATTCAAATATAAGTTGTAATTATTAATCTGGTATTCGGTGTATGAAAATAAATCTTGTTGAGAATGGTTAATTCAAGCAATTCTAAGCTATCTGCTCTAAAATAGCCTCGCAAACTTTCGAAAATTACTTCGGATGAGATTTACCAGGCTCTGGAGTAAAAGCTTCTGATGGAGGAGCACTTTCATCAGCATCATTTGCTGGTACAGACTCAATATCAACAGACTTATACGCATCAACATATCTAAAAACATCATTCAAAACATAGAAGCCCTTGTCCTGTGGAGCTAGGAAAAATGATTGAGCAAACTTGCGTTTAACATTGTCAGTACCAGTCAAGCAGCCGGTCACTACAACCATTACCCCATTATTATATGAGGGTTGAGCATCAGCACTCAAAACCTCTACCCTAAAGCTTGTGTAATCGAGAGATTGTATCTTTTTATCAATTTCCTGCATCAAAAATAAATACATCGAAGTCAGAAAATGTTAAATCATTTGTCACAATAGCCATATTCTTAATCAAAAAGCATTTAAAAAATAGCGGATCTCAAAAACTAGCGGATCATAAAATAAAATAAAAAACAGATATGAGAAATATCGGATAGAATAAATAAATAATTATATATAAAATAAAACATGCTACACACAATACCAGCTTCCGTAAAATTCTGATTGTAATACCGGTATACCGGCACTAAAACAGATATTTAACAATACTGATTTATTACAAAATTCACAAAAGTCAATCACAATGAATCATAATAACATTTAACACTTTTTGCTTAGCATAAAAACAAACATTTATCAACAGCCGATTGATTCAAAGCATAAGACATGAAAATACACAAGATAGATTCAAATCAAAAGTCAATCATTAAAACTTACTGCAGTGGTAGTGACAGATGTCATGGTACCATCTTCCTCAGGTCGACTCAAAACACTCGAATCATGATAAAATCGGTGAACCTGATCCGGCTCACGGTGCAGAATAGAGTAATACTGCTCCACAAAAGCATTGCCAACCATCTGAGTGGTCGGGGTTGAAGCTACTTCAGACACTGTCATCTCTACAAAAAAAATACACAAACAAGGATTATTCACAAACACTATCATCACAAAATCGAATTAACCAATCATCATTCCTCATCAAATCCAATGATAAAACAAATGTCTTAATTTGACGGAAATCAAAAACCGAAACCGTAACATTAACAATTAAAAATAAATACTAAATTTTGGTTTTTTAATTTAAAAAAAAAAAACTTAAATTTAAAAGCCCTAAATCTCAGATAACAGATTGAAACGGAACCCTAATAACCCACGAAAAACAACAAAAAATGAGTAATTAAAACAACAAATAGAGAAACGAAACATTGAATTGAATGGTTGAATATGAAAGATCGAAGAATAATCGATGAGAGTAAAGAAGAGGTTACCTCCTTCCGGTGATGGAGAGATCAAGGAACGATTGAAGAGAAAGATGAATGCGGCTGATGAGTGAGTAGAGAGAGTAGGATCTGTCGCGAGGTTTGTGCAAGGGTTAAATTATTGGTAAATATTTATACCCGAATTTTTCATTTATTTTAATTTTTAAGGGGTTTTTTTAACCCGGTTTAATGTTGTCTCTGGGAGGACCAAGCCCAATGTGTTTGATTGGTGCTTTGTTTACTCGTCTTCTTGTTTATCTATCCCTCCCTCTTTGTCCGGGTTATTTATGTTTCACATTATTGTTTTTTTATGATTGAAATGTTTCACATTAGTAATGGCTATTATATTAGTGTACATATTTATTGAATTTAATTTAAACACAAAACACACCATTGATATGGGTTTTGGGTTGTGATTTTATTTGATTTTATTTTTTAATGGTGGTTGCGTGTTTTTATTTTCAAGTTAATTTTAAGGTGATGTCTAAGATGAACTATTAAGTAGGTTTTTTTCGATTTAAAAAACTGAGTGAAGGTAGAATTATCTCCTTCTATTATTGTGCTTATCGCTGATTTCATTTAAAAAAACATAATTTCAATTTAAAGAAATCATAAATTTCATATATTTTTGTTTGAAATCACTCTCATATCCAAAAAGTGCATCTAATGAAGGTTCATTTAATAGGCGAGAAGGACATAGAGAAACCATGGCAGGTATGGTTGCGAGCGGAAAATTGGAGAATAATACAAAGGATACTGGAAAAAAATGTCTGATTCGATGTATAATGGAGTTTTTGAGCTTGATTAATCTCATAGTGACTCATTTATGATGAATTTGTTGGAATCCTCATCCTGAGCTTGATTGTGTGTTTTTAATTTTTAAAGTTAACTTTAAGGTGCTGATTGCATGAATTTGTTAAGTATGGTTTTTTCTATTTAAAAAATTGATTGCATGTATAATCATTTCTTTATATTACTGAGGTTATCGTTGATTTCGTTTTAAAGATATCATTTCAATTTAAAGAAATCTTAAATTTCATATACTTTTAATGAAGGTTCACTAAATAGGCGAGAAAGATAGAGAGAGAAACCATGACAGATATGGTGGCTTACAAGCAAAAAATTGGAGAATAAGGCAAAGAATACTTGGAAAAATGTTTGATTTGGTGTATAATGGAGTTCCTGAGCTTGATTAATCTTATAGCGGTTCATCCATGAGGAATTTATTGGAACCCTCGTTCTAGAAGTTACCTAATTAAAATTAAATATTTTTATCACCTAACTTTTCTGATTGGTTGGTTTGACAGCTGGTGTTTTCCAATTTATTAAAAAAGTCAGTGTATATAGCATGTAATTCTTTCATTTACTCACTTGTCTCCAAACCCTAAATTATTTTCGTGCTTTACTCGCTTCCCTCTTCCATTTTCTTTGTTCTTCTTCCATAATCCATAGTTTGCCTTCTTCGTTCCATTAATCTCTTTTATGTTCCTCTTAACCTCTCCATTGTATTTTACTCAATAACCCTAAATTTTTCCATTATGTTTTGCGTTCAATCATCCTAAACTTCTCCATTGCATTTTGCATCCTAAATCTCCTTTGTGTTCCCCTTAACTCTACCAAAATCAGACGAACATATGGAGAACAGTGATGAAGACTTTTCTTTGTGGAATCTTTCGGGATCTTCCTCAACATAAAATCGAAATAAGCTTTGGAGGTAAATTTTCCCCTTCCCTTCACTGTATTTCAAATTTGTGTATTGATTTTATATGTTGGATATTTTATGCTTTCATTCTAAGACATAAAAATTGCGATTGGACAATTCAAATAACTGAACTGTATATGTGATGTTGGTTCTATTAGTTGAATTGGTTGGTTCAACTTAGGTTTTAAAATATTGATTTATATGTTCATTATTTGATGAAGGATTTATTAGTGTGATATTGTTAACCTCATGATTAACTAATTAATTGTGTCTCGGTTAAATTACAAAACATGTTTATTTTGAATTTATTGTATTCTTGTTTCAATCCGTAATAGTTGAATTGATTTAATGATTTGAATTTATGATGGTTGTGAGTTATTTATTTATGTTCGAATAATTATTTTGTTTGTAATACTGACAACAAATTGATTACATGATTTTATACAATGTTCCATATTCTAATATGTTTGTTTTTCAAATAATGTTCTTTTTGGGTGTGAGTTTATTTTTATTATTATTATTATTATTATTATTATTATTATTATTATTATTATTATTATTATTATTATTATTATTATTATTATTATTATTATTATTTTCTCAAAATATTGTTGTTTTTGTCATGAATATATTTTGCAAGCATCATTGAAGATGCAAAGAAAGTCTCATCGACAGATGCATATATTATTTAATGTGTGTCATTCATTTGAAGACATATAGAAAATAGATTTATTATAATCAAATTGGTAAACATCCAGTTAAATTTATATTGTTTGGTGTTTTTTAGACAAACATGATTACTACAAGGAATTAGAGTCCTAAACCTTAGTTTGTATATAAAATTAAATGCATTGAGGCCTAAAACATGTGGAAGATTATTACTCCATTAATATTTGAGAATCACAACACAATCAAATATGTTTGCAATCTTTGACATGATCATTAAATGAAATTGTGAAAAATATTTGACTTCTAAACTATTTAATGAATGTAATATAGTTACCAAGTATTTATAACGATGTCACATATGTTAATATTTTTCGACGAGATCCTAATGATTGTCACTTTTCTAGACATAAAATACAGTTAACATCTTGTGACTCGTGTAATTACATGTATTATAATATCCACACTTGGACATTACCCAAGTACTCAAATTTAATGTCAAATATTTTGGATTTTAAGTTTGATAATTATTTAAACTTGTCAAAAAAAAAGTTTGATAATTATTATGTACACGATTTTGGAAATATAATTTTAAAATAGATGAATTAGGTGCTTGGTTATGAAAATAGGATATTGTAATAGAAATTTAATTTTAGGAAAGTATAATTAAAGATCTATAAGAATCCGATTTCGAGTCCCTCTTAATATTGCAGTTGAGAAGTATATTACAAACTCATCAAGATTTATCTGGATTTTTTAAATTTTAATTTAACATTGAAGCATAAAAACCTAAGGGTAATGGTTCAATTGCTTTGAAATCTTCAATCTAAGACAAAATTGTAATAAAAGAATTCAAATAAATGAATTGTATATGTGATGTTGGTTCTATGAGTTGAATTGTTTGGTTTAGTCTGGGGTTGCTAAAGCTCATTGTTTTAACTATATACAACTTCTTGTGCTAAATCATTGACTTAAAACTATTTCAAATTGCAATCATATTTTTTATAGTCGTGTCCTATTTCTCAATCTCAATTGCATGCCCGACACTTGTTTATGTCTTTTCACAACTTCTAAGCTTTATTTGTTTTATCATTTGAAATCTGGTTACATAATGATTTGGTTGCAATTGAATAAATGTTAGTTTGACATTTGTATGATAACTTTGTTCTTGTGTTTAGCACACATCATTTATTGATAATTAGTGATTAGGAAAAACGAAACAGTTATATGTTAAATATATGACTCCATACACAAGAGGGGGATGGATTATGTAGGTTTAAAAAAATGATAGTTTAAAACAAACTCATTTTCTAAATTAGAGTCCGAAAATGATTTATAAAAAAACATTTGAATATGCAATAGAAAATCAATGTAAAGAAATTAAGTGTAAAATAAAAGAGTTAATGGAAGAGAGAACGACACTATAGATTTATAGAGGTTTGGCATTAATAAAGTGACATACTCCAATCCCTAAGAATTGATGTTGAGAGTGTCCATTAATGCTTGAGAGCTTTTTAAAAGGTTATACCCACAAACCCACTTATATATTCCAACCAAACAACAATCTGAGGAATGAAACACATAGTTTTCATGTCAAACAACAAACAAATCTTTGAGTGGTTAGTCTCTAAGCTAAACTGAGGTTTTGCATAGGCTGATCTCAAAACAGGATGGAGGTTTGAGTTGGCTATCCTTAGAACCAAACAGAGGTTTTGCACAGACTGGCCATAAACTGAACCGAGATTTTTACTAGGTTAATCTCGAAGCTACTAAGCTTTTATATAGTCTAAACTCAAAAACTGAGTGAGATTTTATACGGTGAGTGCACTTGCCCGATAGATGTTTTGCATGATGTCAAAACTAGGATAACCTTACATTTTTATATATTGGGTATTATCTTTGAGTCATTATGTGTACCTTTGCATTAGGGTACTTATAATGCATTTAGAACATGTTCGTAAAAGGTATCATTCATTAAAAATAAGTTTCTACATGAAAAACAGGTCTATGTGTCGACGCATACGATGTACGAGTCGACACATGTGGGTCAATATTAAAGCATATAGCCTCTGTAACTATATGTCGACACATAGCCTTTCAGGTCGACACATACTAAAAATTTTCTTTTATGCATTGACACATACGATATTCAGGTCGACACATATAACCCATTTTTAAAGCATGTAACTTCTGTAACTATGTGTCGACACATGACCTTGAGCAGGTTAACACATGTTATAAAATATGTCGATACATGACTTATATGTGTCAATACATCTTGTAGTTTTTTTGAAAAATTGCACTTCTTCAAACTTCTAAGTTTCCCTTTTGCCTATAGCTTGCACACATATAAATACTTCATACATGCATCATTTTCATCTTGATAAAACTATAAACACATACAAAGATTGTTCATCATCTTCAATCTCTCATCTATGCATACACGTAAATAAACTATTGTCATACCCCAAATTTGTCTTACCCTTTTATCCAAATCATCTGGCTTGTGCATCTCATATTCTTCATATGCGCATCCTTCATTAGGTCATCTAATACATCATGCATCATTAGCCAGTAAACTTGGCACATGATCAAGGATTTGGAAGTTAGGGTTTTATTTTGCTTTGAGGCTCCCATCTTCACACAAGCTTGTTTCAATTGGTTTCTCCATCAATCATTAGTTTGAATCTAGGGCTTTGATTCATGGTTATTGTGGACTTCTTTCTCATCAAGCTACAAAGGCTATTCTTCATCAAGATTCATCAAGGCTGGGGATTAGGATTTATTTCCCTACAAAAGTCAAAGATTAGGATTTTTAACTGAGTTTGCTTGCATCATGGTTTTGTCTCTCCATCATCATGAGGAGTTTTCTTCAGCATTAAGGGATTGAGATACATTTCATATGCTTGTTATATTAGGTTCTTATTCATGTGGATTAGAGTTTCTTTTCAAAGATATATTGAGCATTCTTCTTTCTATACTTTCATCCTCATCTCAAGGCGTTTACTATTAGAATGAGTTCATCAAAAGGTTTGTCAAAAGCAAGATTGTGTGAGCATTGAGCTTCCTCTTAAGGAATTATTGATAATAAATTTAAGACATCTTTTGCTTGAGTCACAAGGCATGAATCATAGTACAAATGAATTCATAAAGGTTTTATTCTTGTTGTTTCAAGTACAAGGCATTATAGTTTGAGATTCAATCGTGAGATTATGGTTTCATTTATCAAGAATGGCATATGAGGTCTATGGATATTCAATTTATCAAGAAATCTTGAGGTGAACACAAAGGTTGATTTAAGGTGTACATGGACAAGTTTTGATCTAAACATGGTTCAAGGTTCATTCAAAAGTTTCATTAAGTATCAAAATCATTCAAAGTTCATCTTGATTCGAGTTTCATTAAAATATCAAATATTCAATCCTATCCAAGACAAGCATGAAACAAGTTTATTTAACTTCATGTCAAATATTTACAAGGTACATCAAACATACAAAAACATCATAACATATAAAATGGCCAAGAGCTACACTAAGTGTTCTACTTGACTTTCTTCAAGCTTCAGTCCTTAGTCGTGCTACAATCTTCACCCAAATTTCATTCATGCCAAGCTAATTATTCAAGCCTCGTGTTATGTTTACAAAAACTCCAAAAAATTTCAAAGTTTTGCTCACAACTTTGTCCAAACTGAAACATAACTTATTGCCCTATCTAAACAAGATTAATCCAAACATAATCACAAAACCAAACAGCCATGTGCAAGGAAATAAAATTAGAAGAAAATACATCAAATAAAACCAAAACAGAATATGGAATCGGAAAATACAAGGAAAAATAAAATTAAATCAAAAATAAAAATAGAGGAAATAAAACAACAATAAACAGCTCAGCAAAAACTTTTAGTGCAAAGCTTCATAACAGAGCAAAACTCAGATAACAAACTTTTATCAGAATTAATCCTTAACATTCATCTTGTAACAAACATCTCGAAATCAGTGGCTGAGATCTTCTCCTATGTAACAAATTTTTCCAGTCTGAACAACCTATATAAACTTCATCTCCTTCAAAGCTTTATTTTTACAATTCATTTTCACCATAACTTTCAATCATTCACCCAAATTCTAGAACCTTCATCTCTATTCATTCTCTCTACAAAACTTCAACAAATTCATGCATCACCTTTAAATCAAAGCTTTTATGCACTTTCTGTAAAAACGCAACAACCACCATCTTCTTCCCTATTTCAAATGCAACATCTTCATCACCTTTTCTCGACTTCAAATGCAATAACATTTCCTTAAACGCACATGAGAAACAACAACATCACATCATATCTACATCCATGTAAATGCAAGAACAACAACGAACATGCACAGAAGCGGAGCGGGGAGAAGAAGAAAACGGAATAACGTAAAAGCGAGAGAGTGAAGATACCTGGAGTTCTCTGGATTTCTCATCATCTTTATCAGTCTGCGACAAGAATTAGAGTAGAAGAAGATCACGAACGAAGATAAGTCAGAGGCGGTCTTCAAGAGGTTGAACTGAGGTAGAGAATAACGAAGACATAACTTGAAGAAGAAATAATAAGAAGGTTGAACGAATTAGTTTGGCTCATGTTAGCGGTGGCTCGCGACGGCGCATACTCATCAGAAACCGTGTGAGAAGAGAGGCTGAAACGAGAGGGTAGAAGACAATTTTGAAGAGATGTGAAGCATCACAACTCAAAACCCTAGGAAGCCACAAAATAACATTGTTTTCCATATTTTTTTAATTTTCTTTCTTTAATTATTTTCAATTTTCTTTTCTTATTAGTTAGTAAAATCAAATCATTTGATTAATTGGAATGATGATGGATCAATACATTGGGCCTTGAAGTAATTTTGTGCTCACCTCCCTCTGAAGCCCATAACACAGCGTTTTAGAAATATGAAGTTTGAAACCAAGAACATCTTCTGGACCGTTCCAGCTTGGGCCTTAGTGTAACACCCCAAAATTTAGAATTAATTATTTAATTAAATTTTGTGAATTATTGATGATTTTCTGTGTGATGTTTGATGATATGGTTTGGGTAGTGGTGGATTAAGGTGTTAATTATAACTACTTATATTTAAATAATTTAGTTATAATTATATAGAATTATTTACTATTTATTAATTAGGATAAATAGAATAATATAGTGGAAAATAATAATAAGGGAAAGATGGTAATATGTGGTGATAAGTGAGGGTATGAGGGGAATAACATAAAAAAGGTCCTAGGGGTAAAAAGAGAAAACAAGAAAGAGAAGTTTATTTGGTACGATCGAAGTTTGAGAGAATCTGAAGGAAAGCTAGGGCTCAGAGGGATTGTCGGTAGAACTTGAAGAAGAAGAAGACAAAGATGTTAAGAATTAAGGTAAGGGGTTTAATCGTTGTTTATTATGATTGATATCGGGTTAAGGTAGATGTAGGATTTTAGTTCTCTTTGGATTGATGACGGGTATTGATAATTTTAGAATAAAATTTTGTTTTGGTGATGATGTTGGGTGCCGTTGATAATGATGAATTGTATGCTTATGTCGATGTAGATGAGTGTGATTAATTGTGTGATTCATGTGTTTGGTGAATTAGAATGTTGCTAATGAGTCATGTAATTAGGAATTGAAACTTGTAATTTGATTTGTATATTGTGTGTGAGTTGAAGATGTTTGGGTGTAGAGAAAAAGTGACGTTCGTGTCAAAAGTTGCAGAAAAGTATTTATGTCAGTGATGTAATCGGTTACATGGTTAAGGTAACGGGTTACATCGAAAACATGCCTTTTTGGGAATTAGGATGATGTAACCGATTACATAGTTAAGGTAACCAGTTACATCAAAGAAAAATTGGGTATTTCTGCTTTTGGAATTGAGGTAACCGATTACCTGGCTGATGTAACCTGTTACCTTGTTGTGTTGAAAATGTTGTAAAAACTTCATAAATTCATAACTTTAGTTTCAGGTGTTCGATTGACGCGTCATTTGAATTGTTGAAAAGGTGATTTAACTTAAAATTATTTTTTGTACCAAAATTCTAACTATTCAATGCGTTGACATGTGTTTAGTGTGTGCCGAGGTGTGTTGTTTTGAGTAACATTTGCAAATGCATTATATTTGTTGTTATGCTATGATGTTCTATTTTTGATGATGAATATGATGTTGATTATGATGTTCTAATATGATGATTCTATGATCAGTATGTGAAGATGATTATGTGATGATTTTATGATGATTATATGATGATTCTATGATGATTATGTGAATTATGATGCAATTGACTAGTCGTGGTCTAATTTTCATATGATGTTGTTGTGCATTATGAATTCATAGTATTTCTGGACGATGGTCCTATATTTTGAAAGGTGTTCCACTTATGACGAGCCTCAATCTCACTGTGCAGATTGTGTGTGTGTGTGTGTGTTTTATGATGTGCTCTAGTTTCAAGAGGGAATCGGTCCTATGATGGAGATCTTTGGAGGGTGATGACCAAGTGTTCATCAAAGATTTGGTACCACATATATTTGAGTCAGTTGTGTTGCATTAACATTTTATGTGATATTGCATGAGTTTTGTGGATGAGTTATTATGTAATGGTAATTGTGAATTATGTGATTACATGGTGTTTTGATAATAAAAGATGTACATGTGATTTTATGATGTATCCGTGAATATGAAGTATTGATGATTAGTATGTGTTTTATGTGATGATGATGTGGTAACTATTAATCTTTTCCTTATGTCTTTTATAATAAATTATGATTACTCACCCTTTTTGTTTGAATGTTGCCTCTACGTAGGTAACACGCATGTGATCAGGAGTAGTTTGTTGAAGCTTAGAGGATACCCTCATAGTGTTTTATTTATTTTGTTTTATTAGAAGGTGTCTTGCTCTGATGTGTAACATCGGGTTGGGAACGCTTTGTTTTACGAATATGATGTTTCTCTTATGTCATGTTGACATGTTTTATAGAGATTTTAATTGTACTTTGGTTTTAATAATTGATGAGACTAAACGTCATGAATTTTTTAGAAGTTAATTATGTTGTTATGACGATGATTCCGCTGTGAAGTTTTTAAAGTGATGAGTTGTTCTATAAAGAGATGTCATTGATATTTATGTAACCCGTGTTACAGAGCAGGAATGTAATTGTGATGTTTTGTTATAAAGTGTGACACCCTTGTGTGGTGACTTTAATTGATTTATTTCGAAAGTTAAATGAATAATACATGTAGGGTTAGAAGGGTGTTACACTTAGCGCCACATTCATGAACCAAACCACCTGACCCAGGCTTTACACCTCCATTTGTTTTAATTGTTTTCTTTTAATTTTTGATTAATTTCTTTTTATCAATTTTCTTTTGATTATTTTCTTTATATAAAATGACAAAAATATTAGATTTTATTTCTTTTATTTTTGTTCATTTGCTTGTGTATTAATCCATGATCCCTTAGGTGTTCTTGGTTCAATTCTAATCTTAGATTAAATTGAATTAAGATTAGACCTTAGACTTTAATCAAAGAATGGTCACTTTAAGTTAGAAGTTTCCCATTGAAAACTCAACCTTAGGACCATTGATGCATGACAACAATTAGGATTGAGATCCCTTTGTTTTTGTTTTCTCTTTTGCATAACACTTCTTTTTTCCTTTTAAAATAAAAACTTCTTTTCTTAATCAAATACTAAAACACTTAATAATGATGAGGCGAATCATACACCATTGAGTCTTAAGCAATGGAAAAGAATGAGAGGGTGTATTCCTGACCTTGTTATTCTTCTACTCATAGACTTAAGTGTGATTCAAATCACAAACAATTTCACAAATAAAGGTAGAAATAGCTAAGCTCCCCCTATATCGAGGGCCATTTACTACTCAATCCCCAAAAAACACTTCAACAAATCCAAACACTTTTTCCTCTTGGCTTTTCTCTTTAACCTTTTCAGAAAAGACATGTTATTTTAGTTCTACTGCAATACAGGTAATGCGTGAGTCTCCATACAGCAAGCAGTAACACCTAATTCTAGAACGTGAACATTAATATTATTCACTAAAAAAACACCCAACAAACCAACATTTTTGAGACGAACTTTAGAGTTCTGATTTCTTCATTGCACCATGAGGATACACAGGCACTGGGTTACAAAAACTTGGCGAAGTCAATTGTTGTACCCCAAAATTTGTCCTCTCTTCATACATGCATATTATTGGTTTTATGGTTATGGAATAAAGGTATATTTATCAAGCTTCTTCAGGTTACAAGTGACGCTTATTTCGTCAATGGATATTCTCAGAGTATTTTCCGTGCTGAAGATCGGTTCGCCTTTTTGCAACGATTCGGGGTTCAAAGATTCACAAGTCCAACCCGACGCGTCATATTCATGTGTTATTTCGCCAAGATATCTTTGATAACGTATTATCAAATTCAGGTTCGGCTCAAGAGTCAATTCTTTAAAGAATGTCTCCGAATGTGTGGGTTTTCTCGAAGAAATATGGTAAAAAAGTGTGCTGAAAGTGCAGTTTTTATGCATTAAAAAGTTCATAACTTGAAGATCGTGGCTCGTTTTGAACACGTTCCAGTGGCCAAAATTCCGTACTGATGTCATCTACGTTTTCATATCTCACGGCTGGAAGCCAATTTCAATCAGAAGGTCTTCAAAAATGCGGATTTATCAAGTATTTTCGTACATAAAATTTGTGACAAAAATGTATTTGCGTCATGTTCAGAAAATCATAACTTGGTCGATTTTCATGTATCGAGCTGGTTCCGGTGCCAAAATTTCAAAAATTGAGTTGGCTAAGTTTTCACAGAAGATATTGAGTTTGAAAGGTATCCAAAAGGCCTTCTTTTTTTGCTCAGAGTGCGCGTGATGCGCCGAAAATCCTGAATGCTGAATATTATTTCATCTGGGCCGAAACTTCGAAAATTCATAACTCGGTCAATTTTTATCGGATCGGGCCCATCTTTTTATACAAGGTTACTGACTCAGAGATCTATAACTTTGATTCCAAAGTTGAGACCAGATTATGCTCCGATCAATACCAGTTTTTTATTGAAGAACGTGTCAGAGTCGACACTGGAGCCCAAAATAAGTTTGTCTGAGCTGAAACTTCAAAAATTCATAACTAATTTACCGTTTATCCGATTGATCCCATTTTCGGACAGGAGTTAGTTCTCGATGTCGGCTACATTTTGTTTTCACATTTCAACTTCAAAAATTGCACTTAAGCCCCTGCGATTTAGCCTGGAACGTGACGGAGGCCCTATTGGAGGCCCAATTGCACATTCAAAGCCCATTTTTTCCTCTCTAATTTCTATTATATAATCTCATTCTTTTCACACAAAAAAAGAAAAAGAAAAAGATTTTGCCACAACGCTGTCAAAATATCAAATTCTTTCAAAAACTCTAAAACCTTGAAATCTTTATTACAAACCTCCATCTCACTACAAATAAGTCATCCTTGTTACAAATCCACATCTCACTACAAATAATACATCCTTGTTACAAATCCACATCTCACTACTACTCCAGTAAGGGTAAGGCTGGTTTGATCTCCATGATCAAAAGGGCATAGAAACATTCATCTCACTACTTCTCCAGTAAGGGTAAGGCTGATTTGATCTCCATGATCAAAAGGGTATAATCATTCATACATGCCATATCGGTTTTCACGTTAAATTTTTTTCCATATATTTGCTTTATTTGTATTTCATGATATTTAGTAATTTATTTAATGTGTTCATGAGATTAAACACTACAGATTTAGACAGGGTCTCATGCATATTCATTACAGACGTTGAGGCCAAAACACTAATGGCCAAAATAGAACAACCAACCATTGCATAACGAGGCAGACATCCTGAGAAGGTTAAGGGCGTGGGTTCAACAACCACCCCTATTGGTATTGGTTTTCTTCCTTTCTATTTATTCTTTTAC